CAGAGCTCCATAAACCACGAAGCGCCCGTTAGCGTTGAGTCGCGAACGCCCGTGCTCGTTTCAGTGTCAAACGAATCCGTCTTTAACGGTGCAGTGCGCGCCTCCACCAGCCGACGACGACTCGCACGCCTCACATCAGCGTCCAGTATCGCTCGCCTCCGCCTAATTTGAATAAATTATCTATTGAGCTAACTAACGAAGTCGTTAATTTGAAAAGTGACCTTTGCCTTGACGATCGAACCTTCCGCCAAGGTTGAAACACAGCGTCCGTGGTGTCACCACAACAAACATTTTGGTCCTTCGAGCCGGATCGACGTCAAGGAGAACGAAACTTAGCGACTTTCCTGCTCTGTAACCTGTTGTGTATTCCAATCACCATGTCATCGTGCGATGAACTTCTCGCTTTGCAAACTCAGCTCATGGGGCAAATATCGAGAGCGCTGGCCAACTATAAGAAACTCGGGCAAGCGAAGATGACGCAAGCCGTAACTCGACAGCGACTCGCCGGTCTCAAAGACACATTCGCTAAATGTCAGGAGCTCGATGGAAAACTCGTTCTCTATGCCGACGATAAATTGAAAGCCTCTCACTCGTACTTTCAAAACCATCTGTTCGAGAACTGCGAGGATGTCTACAACGAGGCTGCGGACTTCATGGCAGAGGTGCTAGCCACCTTCGAACCCCAGCCACCCCACCATTCAACGATCAACGGAAGCGGTCTGGCTGACTCATTCCGTCCGTCCTCTCACTTGCCACGGATCAACTTACCGACGTTCGACGGCAGCTTTGACAAATGGGAAAGTTTTCGAGATCGCTTCACCTCCCTGGTTCGTAACGATGCCACCATTTCTAATGTCGACCGCATGCACTATCTTTGCTCGTGTGTAAAAGGGGACGCAAGTAACGTGTTGACTCATCTCGCGATTACCGAAGCAAATTTTGTGGTCGCGTGGGACATCCTGCAATCGCGGTACGACAATAAGCGTCGTCTAATTACCGGGCATTTACAAACGCTGCTCCAGCTGCCGACGCTGGTCTCCGAAATTTCCAAAGACCTTCGGAACCTCCGCGATCAAACGAACGCCGCGATACAAGCTTTACAAAATTTAGGGCGTCCGGTGGAACATTGGGATGACGTATTAGTATTTCTCGTTGCGCAAAAACTTGATAAATTCTCGAGAAAGGCGTGGGAACTCAAGCTCGGGGATACGGCAGAGTATCCTAAATACACAGAACTCGATCAATTTCTCGAATCGCGAGTTCGCGCGCTAGAGGCTATCGTGCCCGTGACTCCCAAGGTCGCGGAGTCTTCTAAACCGAAAAATAAAGTTCTCGCATCACACGCGGCGTCGACCGCGACATTATCTTGTCCTCTGTGCAAAACAAGTCACCTGTTGTACCAATGTTCCACCTTTCTAAATCAAACACCGGCTCAACGTGCCGATTTCATCCGAAAAGTAAAGCGTTGCTTTAATTGCCTCAGCGCAAAGCATCCGGTCAAAGATTGTACAAGCTCCCGCAGCTGCAAGCAATGCAGTAAGCGACACCACACTTTGTTGCATCTTGATGCGTCCGTCAAAAACAATGAAACCGAACCAGCAGAATCCGCAGTCACGGTAGCGGCAATCGAAAAAATCGAAAGTGAAGTCGCGTCACATACAGTCTCGCAAACCGTGTCGCCGAATTCGCAAATTCTACTCGCCACCGCGCGCGTTCGCGTGCATTCATCGGACGGCCGTGCGATCACGATTCGAGCCCTTCTCGACCAAGGGTCTGCTGCTACCTTGATTACGGAGTCGATCGCCCAATGCCTGAGATTACCGAAGATCTCACGCTCCGTATGCGTCACGGGCATTGGCGATACCAAATCCATCATACGCCACGCTGTTACAATTACATTAACTCCCACGTCGTGCGATGGGCCCGCCTATTCGACAACCGCGCTCATCATGAAATCGCTCACTCGGTATAAGCCGAGCCGTGTCAACTCTATGCGTTCATGGAAGCATATCACAGGACTCAAGCTCGCCGATAGCGAACCCATGAATCTCGACCCGGTCGATTTAATTATCGGTGCCGATTTATTCGGTTTCTTATTCTTGGAGGGAGTTTGGAAAGGTGCCGAAAATGAGCCGATTGCTCAGAATACCACCCTCGGCTGGATACTCTCCGGTCCCGTTGCTTCCCCTCCTTCCTCTCCCCGTGAATCCGTGCAAATCCATCACGGAACCGTTTTCGATGACCTCGACTCCGACCTTCGTCGCTTTTGGGAGGTCGAAGACATTCCCCGGAAAGCTCACATGAGTCCCGAGGAACTCCAATGCGAGGAACATTTCGCAACCACGCACACTCGCACGCCTGAAGGACGGTACGTTGTCAGGCTACCATTCAAACGCGGCCTCCCTCAGTTAGGCGAATCCCGCTTCGCCGCCCTTTCGAGTCTCAGGCGCGTAGAACACCGTCTTGAACGTGAGCCGACCACCGCTTCCGAATATCGCGAATTCCTGGACGAGTACGAAAGGCTCGGCCACATGGCCAAGATCCCCCCGGAAGATCTCGACGTTCACGTCACTAAACGATACTACATTCCGCATCACGCCGTAGTACGAGCCACCAGCGAAACAACGCGTCTCCGCGTTGTATTCAACGCCTCCGCGCGAACCACAAATGGCACCTCCTTAAACGATCACCTCCTGATCGGGCCAAAACTCCAACGTGATCTCGTCGTCGTGATCCTCCGATGGAGGCAGTACCGATATGTTTTTACCGCCGACATAGCGAAAATGTATCGGCAAATCCGTGTTGACCCTCGCGACACAGATTATCAGCGCATTTTATGGCGTCGCTCTCCTTCGGATCCCGTCGAAGAATATCGGATGCTAACCGTCACGTATGGCTGTGCCTATGCTCCCTTTGCAGCCATTCGTTCCGTAGAGCAGCTCGCCGCCGACGAGGGATCGCAATTCCCTCTCGCGGTTCCCGTCCTACTCGAAGAAACATACGTCGATGACTGTGTTTTCGGCGCCGATGACAAAGTTCTCGCGCGTCAAACCCGGGATCAAGTAAATGCACTATTGGCCAAAGGTTGTTTTCGTCTCCGAAAATGGGCAAGTAATTGTCCGGAGCTCATCGCCGACCTCGATCCCTCCGATCATGGCCTCGCGAGTCCCAAAGTTCTCCAGAACGATGAGCATCTCAAAATTCTCGGGATTGCCTGGAATCCGCCTCAGGACGTGTTCCAATTTCAAGTCGCTACCCAAAATCCCGGCACAACAAAACGCGCCATTCTCTCAACTATTGCCAAACTGTTCGATCCGCTCGGCTGGGTGGCCCCGGTCGTCGTCACCGCAAAAATTTTCATGCAGCAGCTCTGGCTTTTAAAAATAAATTGGGACGAGGAGATTCCGGACACTCACCTCCGTCCATGGATATCATATCATTCAAAGCTTCCGTGCGTGAATCAAGTCCAAATACCCCGCTGGACAAAGCAAGGCGCCGACACCTTGCATCTCGCCCTACACGGGTTCTCCGATGCATCCACAAAAGCCTACGCTGCCGCCGTTTATCTTCGAACGGTGCACGTCGATGGCTCGGTCACCGTCTCGCTTCTCATAGCAAAATCAAAAGTAGCTCCCCTAAAAATTATCACTGTGCCTCGCTTAGAATTACTTGCCGCGCATCTCCTCGCGGGTCTCATGCATTTCGTCCGCACCACCCTTCAAATTCCGCTGGGCGACTGCCACTGTTGGATAGACGCGGACATCGTACGGGCATGGCTTAGCAAATCTCTTTCTCATTGGAAAACTTTTGTCGCCAACCGGGTCGCGGCAATTCAGACGGCACTCCCCGAGGTGGTTTGGCGTCATGTGAACACTCACGACAATCCTGCGGACTGCGCGTCGCGCGGTCTCGCTCCCGACGAGATTCAGCTACATCCGTTATGGTGGACCAGCCCGTCGTGGCTGAAAGAATCACCCGAGTTCTGGCCCGTTCGCGATCTCCCAGCCGCTCATGATGCTACGGACGGCATTCCAGAAGCACGACCTCAACCAGTCGTGTGCGTTCTAAGCCCCTCGGAACCGTGGGATCTCGCTTCTCGGTTCTCATCTTGGCCGAAACTTTTACGAGTTACCGCGTATATGCTTCGCTTCGTCAGGCGGGCACGCATCCGCAACCAGTCTCGCGAGGCCGAGGCAGCACGCGACCTTCGCCCCCCACTCCTTCGCACCGACGACATTCAGGACGCAAAGCGTTATTGGCTGCGATCAATGCAGAACGATACGTTTCGCGACGAAATTGCGAGCCTCAGAAACAAAACTGCGCTGCCGAAAGCCAGCCCGCTTAGATCCTTGCATCCGCACATTGACTCTGACGGCCTGCTCCGCGTCGGCGGCCGGCTCCAAAAGTCTAACCTCCCAGAAACGATGAAGCATCCCATCGTCCTTCGATCACATCCGCTTTTAACCCTCATCATCGAGCACCACCACCTCCGCACAATGCACGGGGGTTCCCAACTCACTCTCGCGTCCTTACGCACGGAATTTTGGATACTGCGTGCTCGCGCTACGGTTCGATTCGTTCTACACAAGTGTGTCCGATGCGCCCGCGAAGCGGCCAAAGTGTCAAACGAACTCATGGGTGAGCTACCGGAGATGCGAGTAAATCGGGTCGCCCGCGCTTTTCTGCATACGGGTGTCGATTACGCAGGGCCCATCGCCATACGGACAGCCCCCGGTCGCGGTCAGAAATCTCATAAGGCGTACATCGCATTGTTTATATGTTTGACAACCAAGGCCATACATCTCGAACTTGTCAGCGACTACACCGCAGCGACGTTCACCGCAGCGTACCATCGATTTGTATCGCGTCGAGGCTTGCCTCAGCACATGTATTCCGACAACGGAACGACGTTTCACGGCGCCGATCGGCAGTTATCCGACGCCTACTATAAAGCCGTCCGCGAACCGAACTTCCTCAATCGCTCCGCTAGCGAAAAAACGACCTGGCATTTCCTGCCTCCGGCCGCGCCACATTTCGGCGGTCTCTGGGAGGCTGGTGTCAAAAGTGTCAAACACCACCTAAAGCGATGCATCGGGTCTCATACACTTACCTATGAAGAAATGACAACGATCCTCTGCCGCATCGAGGCATGCCTAAATTCGCGACCTCTCGCCGCTATCTCCGAACATCTCGACGACTATCAAGCGTTGACCCCCGGTCATTTTTTAGTAGGCGCTTCCCTTGTGGCTTTGCCCGAGCCTAGCGAGCTCGACATTAACGAAAACCGACTGTCTCAATGGCAGTTGGCTCAGCGAATTACCGAAGGTTTTTGGAAGTCTTGGTCGCACGATTACTTGCACACCCTTCAGCAAAGGCCGAAATGGCGCGCCGTTCAGCGATTAGCCCGACTGGGTCAAATCGTCCTCATTCGCAACCCGCTCGCGCCGCCGAGCCAATGGGAACTCGGGCGCATAACCGTGTGTCATCCAGGCGAAGACGGTTTGACCCGAGTCGTCACCGTGAGGACGAGTCGGTCGGAGTACAAGCGCCCCATAACTAAACTGTGCTTTCTCCCGGTGGACATCAACAACGAACAGCCCATAGATTCCGCCATGGCGGGCGGCACCACTCATTAATTGACACATTTTTGTTATTTTCCCCCGTTGTGATATATGTTGTAAAATAATAATTTCGAATGTATTTATTCGAGGCGGGCGGTATGTTCCGGAATCAGCGAGCAACGTCGCGTCGCGATAAGCCCTCTCGTTATTGGACCGCATGGCCCGTCGTTACAGGTGCAAATTCCCCTCCCACCGAAACAGTCAAGTTTGCGCGATCACCGACGATCGACATGTGCGTCGCTCTCGAAAGTCGAGTCGGCAATTAGCTACCACACGAAACGCTTCGAATTCGTGCCGGGCAACTACTTTCTATTCGTACGCAATCCGAACGAGTGATAATCGTAATCGTTGAGACAGTCTACCGCCTACCCCTGTGTGAAAAAACTGTCTGCATCCGGAGTTGCAACCGCGTTGCGCAAATTAAACTGACGTGCCGAAGTTCAACGCGCGAGCCCGTTCAGCAGAGCTCCATAAACCACGAAGCGCCCGTTAGCGTTGAGTCGCGAACGCCCGTGCTCGTTTCAGTGTCAAACGAATCCGTCTTTAACGGTGCAGTGCGCGCCTCCACCAGCCGACGACGACTCGCACGCCTCACATCAGCGTCCAGTATCGCTCGCCTCCGCCTAATTTGAATAAATTATCTATTGAGCTAACTAACGAAGTCGTTAATTTGAAAAGTGACCTTTGCCTTGACGATCGAACCTTCCGCCAAGGTTGAAACACAGCGTCCGTGGTGTCACCACAACAAACATTTTGGTCCTTCGAGCCGGATCGACGTCAAGGAGAACGAAACTTAGCGACTTTCCTGCTCTGTAACCTGTTGTGTATTCCAATCACCATGTCATCGTGCGATGAACTTCTCGCTTTGCAAACTCAGCTCATGGGGCAAATATCGAGAGCGCTGGCCAACTATAAGAAACTCGGGCAAGCGAAGATGACGCAAGCCGTAACTCGACAGCGACTCGCCGGTCTCAAAGACACATTCGCTAAATGTCAGGAGCTCGATGGAAAACTCGTTCTCTATGCCGACGATAAATTGAAAGCCTCTCACTCGTACTTTCAAAACCATCTGTTCGAGAACTGCGAGGATGTCTACAACGAGGCTGCGGACTTCATGGCAGAGGTGCTAGCCACCTTCGAACCCCAGCCACCCCACCATTCAACGATCAACGGAAGCGGTCTGGCTGACTCATTCCGTCCGTCCTCTCACTTGCCACGGATCAACTTACCGACGTTCGACGGCAGCTTTGACAAATGGGAAAGTTTTCGAGATCGCTTCACCTCCCTGGTTCGTAACGATGCCACCATTTCTAATGTCGACCGCATGCACTATCTTTGCTCGTGTGTAAAAGGGGACGCAAGTAACGTGTTGACTCATCTCGCGATTACCGAAGCAAATTTTGTGGTCGCGTGGGACATCCTGCAATCGCGGTACGACAATAAGCGTCGTCTAATTACCGGGCATTTACAAACGCTGCTCCAGCTGCCGACGCTGGTCTCCGAAATTTCCAAAGACCTTCGGAACCTCCGCGATCAAACGAACGCCGCGATACAAGCTTTACAAAATTTAGGGCGTCCGGTGGAACATTGGGATGACGTATTAGTATTTCTCGTTGCGCAAAAACTTGATAAATTCTCGAGAAAGGCGTGGGAACTCAAGCTCGGGGATACGGCAGAGTATCCTAAATACACAGAACTCGATCAATTTCTCGAATCGCGAGTTCGCGCGCTAGAGGCTATCGTGCCCGTGACTCCCAAGGTCGCGGAGTCTTCTAAACCGAAAAATAAAGTTCTCGCATCACACGCGGCGTCGACCGCGACATTATCTTGTCCTCTGTGCAAAACAAGTCACCTGTTGTACCAATGTTCCACCTTTCTAAATCAAACACCGGCTCAACGTGCCGATTTCATCCGAAAAGTAAAGCGTTGCTTTAATTGCCTCAGCGCAAAGCATCCGGTCAAAGATTGTACAAGCTCCCGCAGCTGCAAGCAATGCAGTAAGCGACACCACACTTTGTTGCATCTTGATGCGTCCGTCAAAAACAATGAAACCGAACCAGCAGAATCCGCAGTCACGGTAGCGGCAATCGAAAAAATCGAAAGTGAAGTCGCGTCACATACAGTCTCGCAAACCGTGTCGCCGAATTCGCAAATTCTACTCGCCACCGCGCGCGTTCGCGTGCATTCATCGGACGGCCGTGCG